CAAAGCAAACTTTGCCATATCTGGTGGCAGCTGGGATCAGAACACCCCTTCAGGTTCATGGCCCTAACCTGTACTGCCTTCAACATGTATCCTGTCAGCCATTCCTGTGGAGGTCTGAAGGACTCAGAACTTTATTTTTTAAAACATGTATTGGGAACTGGGCATGATGGCACATGTTTGTAACCCTAGCACTCCAGAGGTTGAGACTGGAGGACCACTATGAGTTCAAGGCCAGCCTGGGCTACAAAGTGAGCACAAGACCAGCCTAAACTGCATGGGGAGACCCTATCTCAATAAATAAACTTTTTTTTTTTTTTTTTCCAGAACCAGGGATTGAACTCAGGCCCTTGCACTTGCCAGGCAAGTGCTTATTCTACTGAGCCATCTCCCTGGCCCCATAAACAAACTTTTTGCAGCACATATGACACATTCTCCATGGGGAGTTGGCACTCCTTCATAAGGCATCTTTAAAAAAAAATTATTGTCTTTAATTGAAAAGCTAGCAAACTGCCTAGTTACATTTCTCCCCCAAACCACAAAGAGTAGTTACTGAGTCTCTAGGTAACATATTCAAAGATGAGAAGATTAAAAATTTAAAAACAAATCAAACAAGTCCTCAGGTCCAATTAAGGGAGTCCTGCTACATATGGGCTAATCTACACCAGTGATACTGCTTGACTCTAGAAGGCTGGAAGACATTCTAAACAGCCCCACTTGAAACAGTTACTTCAAATAGCCTCTTCCCAGTTTCCAACTTCTGAATAGAAATAATACTTTGTTAATTCTATTGCAGAAAACTTTTGCAAGTTGTTTTATTTACAATGTCAACTTTGAAAAGCTCACTAAAGTTAACTGGACAATAACCTATGCAGAAATCACTTCACAAGAGCCAGGGAGATGGCTCAGTGGAATAAGTGCTTCCCTGGCAAGCACAAGAGCCTGAGTTCAATCCCCAGTTCCACAAAAAAAAAAGAAAAAAGAAAAGAAAAAAGAAAGAAAGAAAGAAAGCACTTCACAAAAAGAGAAAAAGCTCAAAATGTCCACTTTTTACAGAGAACCCACAGTTCAGTTTTATTTAGAGTAAAGAAAACGAACAACTTTTGCTCAGACTAGAAGATATTCAGCCATTGTTGGAATCTGTAACTCAAACTACACATGCAATGAGGACAATATTATGCTCATACCATTGTTTTGCTGCTGCATTTGTGTATTGTTTGTCTAATATCAACAATTATAAACAGAGCAGTGCAGCTAGTATCGGGAACAATCTTTACAGTGTTACAGTGCCAGGCACAACATTTCATTCTCTTCACACCACTGGTTCTCCTTGCCTACCTGGGCTTCCTCCTCTTCAGTAAAGTCATTTTTGATATTAAAAGTCTTGTGAATCTCTTCAGTTTTCCCTTTGATCATATTGGCAACATTCTTGCATGTAACATCAAGCAAACCTTTGATGTCTAGGTAATTTGCTGCCAGAATAAGTTCAAAAGGGTTCCTTGGTCAACTTTCAGGAATTCTTGGTCCCAAACAGGGATGTCATCTGTTTGATTTTCTTTGTTCTCATCATCTTCAGGAGGAGAAGAGTCATCCTTGTGGCGGGTACACCACTGAATGCCCTTTTTTAAATATTGCTGCATTACCATTTGGTAGAGAAACTGGGTCATCACGTCCTTCATCATACATTCCCAAATCTTCTAAATGATCTTGATTGTCACAGATTGTTTGGCAATTTCAACATCAACTTCAAATATCTCTCCATCAGAACTCTGCAACTTAACTGAAGGCATTGGGGAAGGGGAGATGGCTCAGTAGAATAAGCGCTTCCCTGGCAAGTGCAAGGGCCTGAGTTCAATCCCTGGTTCTGCAAAAAAAAAAGAAAAAAAAAAAAGAAAAAGAAAAATTGAAGGCATGGCGTTTGGTCTCTAAAAGACTGCAGGTCTGAGAAGATGAGGGCATAAAGATGTTCACACTGGTTGGGGAGAGAGAGAGAGAGAGAGAGAGAGAGAGAGAGAGAGAGATTTAAACTTGTCTGTTTTATTTCTACAAATGACTTAAATTTATTCTTTATGAGAGTACTGCTCTGTATAAACATCACATTTTCTTTATTCATTCATCTGTCAGTGGAATGTGTGTACCTAATATGATGTCTTTAATTCTTTGGGAAGATACTTAGAAGGGAAGTAGCTGGGTTGAATAGAATTTCTAGTTTTAGTTTCTTCAGAAATAAATCTCCATTCTGATTTACATAATGGTTGTACTGGTTTATATTGCCACCAATAATGGTGGTTTGTTGTTTTTTGTGGTACCAGGGATTGAACTCAGGACCTTGCGCTATGCTGCTGAGCTATGTCCCGGCTCCTGCCACCACCCAACAATGAAAACGCTGTTTATCCTGTAGCCACACCAGCATTTGTTATGATCTGATTTCTCCATGATAACCATTCTTTCCATAAGATGGACCCTCATTTTTTTTTTTTAATGTATTTAGTACAGGGTCTCACTGTGTAGACAGGACTTGGAGTGATTCTCTCCTGTTTTCAGCCTCCCAAGGGCTGGGATTACAGGCACTGCACATCGCCCAATCTCAATCGTTGCATCAGTACACTCTGGAGGTGGGGCCAGTAGGCCCCGGATTGAACTGCACCCTGCCTAAGCAGGTGCTTTAGTCCACTGAGCTATTTGGCCAGCCCCCTCCTGCTGTTTTAATTTGCATTTCTCTAATGAGAAATATTGGGGCTGGGGAGATGGCTCAGTAGAATAAGCACTTCTTGGCAAGTGCAAGGTCTTGAATTCAATCCCCAGTTCTGGAAAAAAAAATATGTTAAACATTGTTTTGTATATTTATTGCCCATTTGTACTTTTGAGAAGTGTCTACTTCATTTCAGTTGTCACTTTTTATTCGGATCTTTTATTTTTATTTTATTTTTTTAAATCTTTATTTATTTGGTACATAGCATGCAGTGCTGGGGATTGAACCCAGGACCTTGTGCTTGCCAGGCAGGTGCTTAGACCACCATGCTATCTCCCCAGCCTCTATTTGGATTTTTTTTTTTTAAGTTCTTGGGGCCCGGGAGATGGCTCACTGGAATAAGTACTTGCCTGGCAAACGCAAGGGCCTGAGTTCAATCCCCAGTTCCACAAACAAACAAACAAACAAACAAAAAACCTTCTTTATATATTCTCTGAGGAGTAGCTGGCAAATTTCCCCCCATTCTGTAAGCTATCTCTTCACCTTGCTGTGCAGGGGTTTTTTGCTTGACATAATCTGTTTTGTTGACTCTTGATGCTAATTCTTGCATAACTGAGGTTTTATTTAGAAAATCCTTGCCTATGCCTGTGTCTTGAAGAGTTTTACCTTTCAGGAGATTTTTTTTTTTTTTTTGCAATATTTAGATCTTTGAGCCATTTTGATTTTTCATACATGGTGAGAGATATAGGTCTTAACTCACTCTTTAGCATGTGCAGAGTTTTCCCAGCAGCACTCAGAACTTAAAAACTACTGCCATTAAAGCAGGCACGGGGCTCACACCTGTAAGGGAGACTGTGATAGGTGGATTCCAAGTTTGAGTCTAACCTGGGCAATTTAGCAAGATCCTCTCTCAAAAATAAAGGAAAAAGAGCTAGATATGTAGCTCAGTGTGAAGGTCTGAGTTCAATCTCCAATGCCAAAAACAGTAAAATAAAATTGGTACTGACATTAAGTGATTCCCATCTATGCGGCTTACAGATGTGACTTAACACATTGCCCTATATGACAAGACATGCATACTATGATTGTCCTTATTTTTTTTATAATTTTTTAAAATTATTTATTTATTTTTATTTATTACATTTATTTATTGTGTGTGTGTGTGGCCAGCTCAGCCCACCAGGGGGCGGGGCTGGCTGGCATGTGGTGCTGGGGGATTGAACCGCGGTCCCTGTGCTTTGCCAAGCTTGTTTCAAGTAGGTGCTTTAGACCACTGAGCCATCTCTCCAGCCCCTGATTGTCCTTATTTTATAGGGAGGAAAACAATTCTTATTAAGGCCAAGACATCTGCACAAAGTCACACACACAGTGAGTGGCAGAGCCAGACATAGCTTTGACATCTTCTGTGCCCTGGGTACAGTATATTACAAAATTCTCTGAGCTCCCAACTTGGAATTTACTCCGTAAAAAATGGAAAGGAGGTGGCTCTGGTGGTGCAGGTACGTGATCCCAGCACTCTAGAGCCTGAGGCAGGAGGATCTCCGAAAATCTGAGGCCAACCTTAGCTACATACGTGAATTCAATGCCAGCCGGGACCACAGAGTAAAAGGCAGTCACAAAGATACCAAAAACAAACCAAACCAAACAA